TTTGGTGGTGCCCTGGGCACACGGGAGTACCAGGAAATGAAGAAGTGGATGCTCTAGCCAAGGAAGCCTGCAAACTAATCCCAAAATCACAACCACAGCCCTCATTAGCGCACCTAGAAAGGCAAGCTAAAGTAGCTACCTGTCAAGTTGGGATGTTGACGCAGGGTGGAAGCTCTCAGAGGCCAACTGCAGTTAGGGGTAGAATGATGAATTACTGAAGTCTGCTCCTCCCTCGACGTGTACTCCCTGCGCTGTATATATATCTGAGCTGTTCCTTTGTTGCTTGGACTCCTTACTACCTCTTACTAGCCCCTATCCGGGAGGGCTCTGACACTACCTTCCAAGCCTTTACCAGAAAATGGCTGTCCCAATGCCCTCGGCAATATGCCGACCTCGAGATAATTCTTCACCCCAAGCCGCCTGAACTCCGCCTCCCTCGGAACTTACTAGGAAGGCTATACGCAGCAAGATCCCATCATGGAGACTTTACAGCATACCACGAGAGATTCGCTCATCAAGATGCATTGCTCAACTACAGCTATGGGAAACCCAAGACACCAGTCCATTTCTACTTCTGCAAGCGTGGACGCAAGGCTATACCGCGCTACCTCCGCCAACGTATAGCTAAAGTAAGCATTAATTTCTTATTAGGTTCTACTAAGGGAGCCTCTCTTCTATGCGAATAGATAGAGGAGACCAATTTCTTTTCCAAAATTTGCCCGAGTTATTAAATAAGAACGTTAGGTGAAGACGGTAGCCTGTAACATAGTTTAGATTAGCATAGACTATGTCGGCATAGCGCCCGGCACGTCCTTTTGTCACCAGACGTTAAATACATCATCATCATCATCAGATCCTTGGATAACCAGGATATGAGCTATCCAACATATCCAAACAAGGACACTGTCCAGCACAAAGGACATGTTCAGAATCAGGACTTGTATATAGGATGGACTTGAGCCGGACTCTAGGACAGACTTCCCATAGCTTCTTCAGCAATTAACTTCGTATCAGATCTTATGATCGCTTTCAGCTATCTTCCCTGAGAACCTCTTTGATAAGACTACGATTGATCACCGAAGCCTTCCCTTACCTTACGACTTATAGACATAGCTTCCTTGAAGCTGTCCCCGACTACGAATACTGTTACCAGTTCCGCAGCCTCAACTTCTGCAAACATACCTCACTACGACTAGCTGGCCGTAACACTGCCGTATAAGAGACACTACTTTATAAAAGAAATAGGCAACAATAAAGATAAGGCGGAAGGGGGGAATAAAGAAGAAGGGGAGCGGGACGACGATATTAATAAAGAGACGCTCCGCCTAGAAGAGCTATCTATACGGGGTCGGCCGACCGCATAAGCAAGATACAGAGCAGCAAGAGGCCGGCGCACGGACGGCTTCAAAGACGGCCGCTACGAGCAGATTCTATATAAGTATAACGGCCTAAGAAAGCTAGTATCCGAGCTCGAAACCCGGTTCTATCTATAGAACATTACGGCCGTCTTATATATACTCGCTATCTACATTAATAACAATAGGGCGACGGGCGGCGATGCGGACTTATTAGAAATACGGTACCTATTAGCTAATAAGAATATATTTAGGAGGGAATTCGTAAGCGCGTAAGACTTCACTTTCTATTTATAAGCCCTCTACCCGGTATATAATAATATATCCTCTTACTACCTACCCTTATTCCCTAACTCGCTCTTCGCCGCTATAAAGGGCAATATAAACGACCGGAACAAGGGCGCGGACGTCCTCTCCTTTGGCTACTTCCAGGGGTACTCTAATATTAAGCATAGCGTCCGCTATAGTCCCCACGACCTGCCGGCCACTAAGGGGTACGTAACGGTAGCCATGACCGTGCCGGCGTCGGACGACGGGGCTATGGCGGTGGTACGGGAGAAGCGCAAGCGGTTACTACGTATTCTCTACAGACCTAACAAGGCTAAGCCGTTTGCAAGGGAGCGGCGGTAAATAGACATTATTATCAATAACGAGGAGGTAGTATTCCGACTCGAGTAAGTAGTCTCGTTAAACGTCCGACGTATAACGGCGGGAGAGCAGACGTTCAAGACCGTGATACGCCCCATCTTCTAGATAATACGCTTCTTCCTAGTCGAGTAGGAGTCCTTTATATATATCTTCTAGTCGATACCGCTCGAGGTCTTCCCGCGGATCATATACGCCTATGTACGGCTCTTCGAGCTAGGTCCTAACAAGACATATCGCTAGTTTGTCTTTAGCGGCGAATAGGGGCTCGACCTGGCGCGGTCCGAGGCGGTCGCCGTTATAGACCGGCTAGGCGGGTATATATTCTCAGGCTACCTGCGGCACCTCGCCGGATCGGTCTTACGGCCGCTCAGCACCTTCGCTAGCTTTTGGGCCGGTAGCTAGCCTTTCCTTAACCCGGCCGTTGTAAATCTCGGCGGGTCGGGGTCGGGCAGGGCTATTATTAATATAGTACGGTGGCCTTACTACGCCAAGACGGGCTAGCCCGTACTGCTCTATATACGGGAACTACTTTATTATTACGGCGCCCGGGTGGCGTCGTCCCGCAAGAGCGCCGTCTAGTTTACATAACTAGGTAATGCTACGTTCACGAATAAGACAGCCGTCGCTGCCTTTACCGAGGAGCTTATCTACGAGCTATAGGTACCGTAAACTAAGGCCTTTATAATAGTGTTATAAAAACTACTTTTTAAGGATTTTTATACAAATTAGTTCTTCTAGGTCAACCAGTTTACCTGGAAAGATAATGCTATTATACTCTTCTTGATAACGGTCTTCCGAGAAGGCCAGGATATTATCCGGAGCCGGCGCCGACCGGCCGGAGATACTGCTGCAAAGCGAGCTGCCTGGAAAGTCTTCGGCGCCGACGTCCGGAAGAACCTGCCAGTGCCGGCACCAATAGACGAGTATAATTATAAGATGAACGGCGTTGATATTAGTGACCAGATGAGGTCCTATTATCAATGGGGCCACCCTATCCGGCGAGGGGGCTGGTAGGCAATTGCTTGGGACTTTCTGCTAGAAGTGATCGTTGTGAACAGCTCTCTGCTGCAGCTCTGGGGCAAGCCTAGTTGGCGATCTATTAAAAAGTAGTATTAATGGCGGCAACTGCTTGCAGCCCAGCTTATCCAGCAGTTTGGACCATTAGCAGGGGGTCGGCAAAGATCACGACCTAAGCAAACAAGAGGTAAAAGGAATACCTCTATTTCTTGGCAGCACTATCGCAAGGGATCGAGAAAGTCCTGTTCGCCTTGCTCCTATTGTAGTAATATAACAGCCTTACGATCCCGCCAGGCTCTAGGCGAGATATCTGGTAATAACCTTAGAAAGCTGCGAAGGTATATTCGAAAAGGCTGCTTAGATTGCGATATATCGTTATGTACCGACCGAGATTGCTGGTACCTTTGGTATAACGTGCATGATAAGCGAGCGGATCGGACAAGCGAGCGGATCGCTCAACAGCGACCGCCACATCTATTTTCTTTCCAATACATATCCATCCACCACAATGATACAGTCATCAAACAAAGAAGCTGGCATAATTCTAGCAGTTCAAGCTATCGAAAAAATACCAAATTTGAGTATTAAAGGTACAGCTCGGATCTACTCAGTGCCATTTTCAACCTTACGCACCCGTATCAATGGAAGAACTTCGCGACTTAAAACCGTACCAAACTTACGGAATTTGACGTTGCTCGAAGAGGATACGCTAGTTAAGTATATTATCGACCTAGATTCCCGATTATTCCCTCCTCGGATCAGTGGTGTAGAAGAAATGGCTAATCGACTACTCGCCGACCGCGGCGCGCCCCCAGTTGGGAAGTGCTGGGCTTCGAACTTCGTCAAGCGACAACCACAGCTCCGGACGCGCTTTTTTCGCAAGTATGACTATAAGAGGGCCCAATGTGAAGATCCAGATGCGATAAACGCGTGGTTTCGCCTTGTGGGGAACACAATCGCGAAGTACGGCATCGTGGACTCCGATATCTACAACTTTGATGAGACTGGGTTTATGATGGGCCAGATTGCATCCGGAATGGTTGTCACGAGTGCTGAAAGGCGTTCAAACACGAAAATGACGCAGCCTGGCAATCGTGAATGGGTTACAGTCATTCAAGCCATCAGTTCGTCAGGCTACAGCGTTCCGCCGTACATCATCGTCACAGGCCAATATCACCTCTCCACCTGGTACACAGAAACAGGTCTCCCACGCGACTGGGTTATTGCAACGTCTGAAAACGGATGGAAAACAAATGAAAGAGGCCTAGACTGGCTCTAGTACTTTGATCGGCATACAAAACCGCGTGCAACTGGTAGATATCGCCTCCTCGTCGTTGATGGGCATGAAAGTCACCACCCTGCGGACTTTGAGATATATTACAAGGAAAACAATATCATCATACTCTACATGCCGGCCCATTCGTCTCATATACTTCAGCCCTTAGGCTTTGGGTGTTTTGGGCCACTAAAGACGGCTTATGGTCGACAAATTGAGGATAAGATGCGCCGGGGTAATACCCATATTACGAAGGAGGACTTCTTCCCTGCATTTCGCAACGCTTTCACGCAAGCCCTAACGGTAAAAAACATCCAGGGAGGTTTCAGAGGGGCTGGGCTTGTTCCGTTAAGTGCTGAAAGTGTGCTTTCGAAGCTGGATGTGAAGTTACACACTCCAACGCCCCCAGGGTCTCTTCCAACAACACCCCCCGCGTGGACTTCTCAGACACCAAACAACCCAACAGAGGCAAATTCTCAGTCAACTTTGATTAAAGATCGAATCTTAAATCATCCAAATAGCTCGCCAACACCAGCTAATAACGCAGTTAACCATATCCTCAAAGGGACACTAGCTATAATGCATCGTAATACTCTTCTAGAGGCTGAGAATAAAACCCTTCGGGAGGAGAATAATCTATTTAGCCGACGGCGGAGATCTAAGAAAACTCGTCTTAGGCAAGGAGGGAGCCTTACTATCCCATCGAGTGCCAATTGGCAACAGGTACATGCCCTTGAGGGGAACTGACCACTCAGGAGACAGCCAAGACTTCTTCTAGCCAACCAAAAAGCCTAGATTATGGACACTTCTGTTGTCTATATACTCTGACTATGAAAGAGGTACCAGCAATCATCCGAGTTACAAAGCGCTACTCCACACTGCAGGCACCCTGACCTCGTCTTTTTTCTGTGGGATCGTGAGTTTCCTGTAGTCTCGCCTAGTGCTCTTTTCTGTTGAGTACAAGCTACACAAGCCGAGGGATTTTTCCGCCTGTCCCTTACATGCTGTTCCGGTACTAGGAGATAGGTCATAACCTATCCTCCAAACGACAAACTACCTCTATTAAGAAACCAGATGGTTATAACGGAACTAGGGCACCAGTGGGAACTAGGGATGGATAGAACACATAGTAGCTCACGAGCAAGATTTGGAGGACGTCAGGATACGGCTTGTACTATATAGTATATAGCTAGAGCCTGCGACCCTCCACGCCACATACCCTCCGGGAGGTCTGCCGCAAGGGCGGCTGCGCCCTTGCCGCCATGGCGTTAAATAGAACAACAACAACAACAACAACTACATGCTGTTCCGACGGAATAGAACTATTCCTTTTATCTGTCACCTTTGGGGCCGGCTGTATTTCCTTCCATTACTTAATGGCCCAAAGTGTTGAATTAGCTGGGCAGAAAGGGACCGCCGCCATTCATATTGAGAGTTGACTCGTGCCCACCCTGGCTCTCCCCAGCGTTGTAAAAGGAAACTATTTACAAGAACTACTTCTAGAAGAAAGTTCCTAGAAGAAAGTTCCACGCAAGGGATTGCCACCCACCGCGACGAACTGGTCGCCCATACTGGTTATAAGACCTCATTTGATCCCCTGTATCTACGCCATTCATATTATGGTTATATTCGTCGATACAAAGTGGGATCGGTAGGTTCTTCCTGGCTTCGGTGCCAAAAACTTCCCGGGCAGCACGAGCTGCCGCAGAGGATTTATTCGGTCGGCGTCGGCTTCGTATGATCTCTTCAGTACCACGAAAGACGGTTGTTAGGAAAAGGACGAGAGCGTTGTCCTTCCAGCTCAGTTGATTGATCTAGGGATATGTTAGATACTATGATTACGGCCTATTCTTTCACGTACCTGACCATCTTTCGTAGGGATACAGTGGATTTCCCCCCATGGGATATACCTCCCTTCATCTTCTTTTTCATCGACAAGTAATCGATCGATTCCCCCGTCCTTCCGGCAGGTTCCCGTAGCCCCTATTGAGTTCAACCGCAACGCCCTGAAGAGCTTGACAGAGGCAAACAGATTATCAAGAAAAACGTGGTATTCAGCAACTGGCAGTAGCGTTAGTAGTGTGGTAACTACGCGTTGGGTTGGCGTAAGGCTAGTTTCATCCCTCTTCTTTTGGTGACGCTGTGAGCGCTGCTGTGGAACGAGCCCGTAGGGTCCCTTGCCGTGAACATGTCACAACCAACGTATAAAGTAACCAGACTGCGCCAAAACCCATACTTTATAGCCAACTGGTGTAGGCTTTCCAGGTATTGTTGTTTTCTCAATTGAACGACCTGTAAATCGAACCATTGCCTCATCAACCGTGAGGTTACTACCAGGTATGTAGAAAGAATCCCCTACTTCTTGTATGTGGCTAGACCACTGGTTGACTTGCCTGTACACTTTAGGCATGAGGTCCTCACGAGGCTGGGCTTCGCTGCGGCGCCGTTTCTTCGTAGGCGGAGAGTCTGGCTGGCTAAAGTTGGCAGTATCGAAGATACATAGGCGGCGTAATAAAATCTGGAAGCGGTTGCGTGATATAAAGCGAGTAAACAGATGAATGGGGTCTTCGCTATTTTGAGAGGTTGACCAATATTGCGATATCTTGCTCTCGACGTGTATTCCCATATAGATAAGAATACCTAGGAACAGGTAGACCTCGTCTACAGAGGTTGGCCTCCAGTTGCTGCTTCGAGAGTGTTGTTGAACAGGGCCTCGTACTGCGGCTTCATTGGTCCACTGTACCCACGATTCAACCAGCCTCAAAGGCACATACTGCTGAAAAAGCTCTAAAGGGGTAGTAGATAGACCCCGTACTGTTGCGGCGCGGTAGGGCACGTCGAGGGGGTTGAATTGGCCCGGTGTGCCCCTTTCTAGCGGAGACGATTCGTGTGGGCGTACAGTTGCGTTATCACACCTCTCGGGCCTACATTGAGCTGTACAGGCGCTATCAAGGTCTTCGGGAAGTACTGCGACGGTGATATGTGAAAGCGCTGACGAATCAGACGCATCAGAGTCGCTTGAGGACATCGCGACAGTTGCCCATCTGTAGAAATGTTAGTTGTGGTGGTGAACGCAGCTGGGAAAATATAGGGGTTGATGACGTACCGTCATGTATTCCCGCGGTGAGGGGGCAAAAGTGGGTCAAACTGGGCATAATGTACCTGTTGCCAATTGGCACTCGATGGGATAGCTGAGGCAGATGACCTTTAATCATAGAGAGAGGCTACAGCTCAGATTGAGGAGGAAACGCGCCGGAGTAGTGGCCGTCGGCCGAGGACGGAAACAGGTCAACGGCGATGTGGCGTCTGCGGGAACACTGGACATAATGCGCGCACATGTCCATTTCAGAAAGAAATGTCTAGAGAGGAGGATTATGGGTAGTTTCAATTAATTAAACTTTGTTGATGTTGATCAAGATTTACATACGTGGAGTGGTTGCTGTCGAGCGATCCGCTCGCTTGTCCGATCCGCTCGCTTATCATGCACGTTAACCTAAATATATAGATAATATAAGTACCTTAAAACGTGCCTAATTATTGGCTGACATAGATGAGCCTGTATGCCCTTATTGGCTGTACCCCGCACAAGGGCTCCGCTGACGTTAAGCAGCAGTCAATGGGATAGTGGCACAGATACTACCCCGGACTCATAGACACTTCCGAGTCAAGAAGGTAGATGTGGGAATTCACCGATTATATCTATAGTCGAATTACCGGTCTCATGAACGGCTTAAATGTGGGTGGCACGGGTGGGTCATCACCGAGATCGAAGATCTGCCAACTTAGCTCTCAGTTTCATCATTTTGCCCCATGAGCTTAATTGAAACCTTCTACGCAACCAGCGGATACGGATGCCTCCCAGATGCAGTCCTTTCGCATGACCAAGCCTGCCGAAGCTTCCATTATTGAATCAAACTAACAACGAAGCACCCAGTCAAGCCGCGACCTTCATCTTTGGTCGGCAAATCAGAACAACGTCATCTACAATTCTTTTAGCCGTACTCACTAGGCTAATTGAGGAAACTTGTTTTCCGGGGAGGCTTTCAGCTATCATCCGGGGACGGTCCCAGTACTAGAGGGAATGGCGTCTGGTCCGTGTGTGTGACCCGATTGCTTGGGAATTGCCCTTTCCGACGACCTGGAGTACAAAGCTTACTAATCCAATCAGGTCTGAGTCGAATTGTATGACTCCAACTGACCAGCTAACTTGATTCAGACCCAAACTCGTCTAATAGTCGCGCCCGGAAGCCCGACGGGTTCCGGGTTTTAATCAAATTTAGCCCCATTAACTGCTATTCTAATTCTCTTGGCTTGCGCTAATTGCACTACAGAACGCCCCCATCCCGGCAGATCTGCACTACTGCATGAATTTTATCTAATTTGATGATTGGTGCTTCTGAGACACCCCCGCATCCCACGTATATCGACTCGGATGGTTAATGTCAAAAGAAGGCGTCTTTGGGGCGTCATCCGAGGGCCAGGGGTCAAAGAAACGAGAAGATGGGCTAAATGAGCAGCATCGTCTAGGGAAATGTGGAAACTACTTGCCAAAGTCGCACTGCATAATCCTTAGAGAATAATAAAACGAAGCCCATTCGGTCCGTTGCCTCTGCTTACTAGACATCCATTTTCCCATCCTTCTTATTCTTCATCTGTAAGTTAGAACAACCTCCACCATGTACTTTTTACCAGTGATTGCGGCAATCACATTTTACGCTCTGGTAGTTCGGGCCTTACGATATCGCCGTCGTGATGGCTTCCAGCGGAGATTTCCCCAGTACAAAACACGAGAAGAAATGGCTTCAATGCCATTATCAGACGCAGCCTCTATATTGCGTGAGCTATCGGAAAGGGAATTTCCCACAACATTCCACACATCCGCGTCTTTCGCACTCTTCAAGGTTAGTCTAAAGCGAGAAACGATTCCAGAGTACCTATAGGCTATGAAGCTAAGAAGCTAAACTATCCGCAGACATATGGAATCCCAACGATCTCCAAACTTTTAGTAGCTACCAGCCAGCTTTCAGGAAATCGCACAGTATCGAAACGACGGATAGATACCGTAGTTTTAATGTCGGAGATTATCTACAACACACCAGACTCCCGTCGCAACATAGATGCCATCTCTCGCATTAACTTCCTTCATAGTCGCTGGCGAGAGGCTGGGAAGATATCCAACGATGACATGCTCTACACTCTCAGCCTCTTCCTCCTCGAACCTATGCGCTGGACCGCACTATACGAATGGAGGGACCTAACCATGTTTGAGAAGAATGCCTTGGCTATCTTTTGGAAAGATCTGGGCAACGAGATGGGCATCTCTTATGAGTGCTTGGCTCCCCACATGAGCCAAAAGGATGATGCCTTGGCCTGGCTGGAGGCGCTCCAGAAGTGGTGCTTGAAGTACCAGGAGCACCACATGGTCCACGCTATCTCGAACGAAAAGCTGGCACATGCGAATATTACTCTACTCTTAATAGACTTCCCTAAGTTCACGCACAACTTCGTATTCAGGCAGTTACGTTGCCTGATGGAACCTGTACTCCGACAAGCCATGGGGTGAGTCACCAGACCGACTAATACCTTGGGTGGACTGAATTGCTGATCCATCATGGCCTTAGATACGAAAATCCAAGCAGGTTGGATTTCTTCATCTTTGAAAACCTAGTCGCTTTCAGACGTAACGTTCTCAAGTACTTCTGTTTACCACGACCAAAATGGTGGACCAAACCCATGATCCAAGACGTGGACAAAAAGACAGGCCGAATGTACTTGCCAAACTACCTCGCGCACCCCTACTACGTCAAGCCGGGCTTCTGGTGGCGATGGAGTCCTTCTGCTCTCTACACTAGACTAATTGGTGGACACTTACCTGGAGATGAGGGGTCTAAGTACCATCCGGACGGATACACCATTCCAGAAGTTGGCCCTGACGCCCAGAGATGCAACGGCAAAGAGTACATGGAGCGCACGAGAGAGAGAATTAGTCAAGCTAGGGGTTGCCCCATGGCATTTCAGGCTTGACTTCGAGAAGGAAGCTTGTGTTGCAGTGCGGTGTCAAGCGCCATGTGGACCTTGCGACGAGCTCTCTGTTGCTCCGATTAAACTCTCCCCGGTTTGATATCATCCAAGCAATATTTTGTGAGAATTTCGGAATCGCAATGACCAACTTCGAGATTGCACACAAGTAGTAGTCTGCTAGTATCATTATAAGCTTATGAATGATAATGGAGTTTGGAATTGGATCACATTATGACATCACCTACTTCACATGAGAATTGCACATGTAGAAAGCCGGAGTATTACATGACCCCTATGATAGGATGAGGCACACCGACCGGAACGTCCTCGGACAGATTCGAGTATTGATCACTTGGGCTATTTCATCTCCACGCCTTGAAGTCAATTGGCAACTCAGGTTACTACACTAGGCGCGACTGCCTATAAGACTTCCTCAGACTGTTACCTAAACCTACCAAATCAAAGTCCCCTTTGCGCTTGCGTCTTTTGCGCCCACCAAGCTAGACAGATCGCGCCCTATGCACTTCTATACCATTCCGAGTTATCTGTACTGCTACAAGGCGTAGCCTGCGTCTGGAACTGATCTAACCCACTGTTCGTGATCGTCACCGACCAAACTAAGACTGCTTCTCAACCACCCAAACAGTGGGCAACGATCCATCTCGCTGTAGAGCTCACTGCCATTCATGAACAACAGCGGCGGACATAGCTCAGTTGGGAGAGCGTCAGACTGAAGCGGACTTCAAGCCCGAGAAACTTCATTCAATCAATCTGAAGGTCGTGTGTTCAATCCACACTGGCCGCATGTTCTATTTTTGCCATCCATTCTCATCTGTCAGCGGATGCGGCAACGCCTCTGTGAACAGTGTCTGTCGCATCCTGATTCTTGCTTCCTTTGGGTAATGATGAATGAGGAAGTTGTATTTAGTAAACTTCACCTAGTTAACAGTACCTATGATGTTGAAAATATTCTGATCACTATCCGACGACGTGTTTGTGCCACCACTAAACGAACCCCTCGATATTTATCACTTGGACACCATCGGTATTACACCAAACAGACTAAGTACATAATCACCTGCAAATTCAATCAATGTAATCAAAAATATTGTTAAGTCGATGGAGATACTTCAAGAGGAAGAATACTGAGCTAGTTAGGCACGCAACGAGAGACAGCTGCCACTATTGAGCGTTGAGAATAAGGTACTGTGTCATTGTGTCAGAGCCCTCCCGGATAGGGGCTAGTAAGAGGTAGTAAGGAGTCCAAGCAACAAAGGAACAGCTCAGATATATATACAGCGCAGGGAGTACACGTCGAGGGAGGAGCAGACTTCAGTAATTCATCATTCTACCCCTAACTGCAGTTGGCCTCTGAGAGCTTCCACCCTGTGTCAACATCCCAACTTGACACTAGCCAAGGTTCCTAGGCCTGCTAGCGCCTAGCCTCGATAGCAGCTCGGTAGGCTTCTATTTACTCTTCTGTCCACTAGGGGGCTCCCCTACCCTAATTTATCCTAAGTCGGGGTAGGGCTGACTCTAGTGTTACGACCCAAACATAACAAGCATAGTGTTACGACCCAACATGCATGACCAAGAACAGGGCCTGCCCCGCAGGCTCGCGGCGGTTATAATACACCACATATGCAGGAGATAAGGGACACTAGGCACCCTCTCACGGAACGGAAGAACTATGGTACAAGTCACGTGATGATAAGATAAGATATGAGCGGCCATGGTGGGGCCATGAGCGACCATGGTGGGGCCATGAGCGCTCATACCAAGTAATGAGCGCTCATGCCGAACAATGAGCGCTCATGCCGAACGATGAGCGCTCACCCGATCAGAGGAACTGATCATTGACAAGGGATATATTCAGGACCAGGACTTGTATATAGGATGGACTCGAGCCGGACTCTAGGACAGACTTTCCATAGCTCTTCAGCAATTAACTTCGTATCAGGATTAACATCCGCTTTCAGCTACTACCTTGACAAGACTACGATTGATCACCGAAGCCTTACCTACCCTTACGATTGACAGACATAGTTTCCTTGAAACTATTCCACGACTACGATTACTGTTACCAGTTCCGCAGCCTCAACTTCTGCAAACTACCCCTACGACTAGCTGGCCGTAACACATAGGGCCTGCCCCGCAGACTCATAGCGGCTACGGCGCGCCATATATGCAAAGGACTAAGGACATTAGGCAACTACTCACGGAACGGAAGAACTATAGTATAAGTTACGTAATAATAAGATAAGAATCATTTTAGATTAATATGATTTAACACGACTTAAGGGCTAAGCGATTATTCTAGCTTAGAATAATCTAAGACGATCTAAGGAATAGAGGGATATACATAGGATCAGGACTTATATATAAGGATGGACTCGAGTGTTACGAGCTGGACAAGGCAACCAACTGTGGCACAAAGCAAAAGCTTCGATAATGATGACTCCGGCATCATTTTCCCATGTTCTGCATTATATAGCTACGCGCCCACAGTGACAAGTTGCGGCGGGCGTAACACTATCCACGACTACGACACTATTTATTTAGTATTCGTAGCCTTAACTTCTATAAATACCTTACTACGACTAGCTAGCCGTAATACTTTAATTACTCCTATTTAGTAAGTTTACTCTATAAAGACTAACTAAATAATATAAATATATCGACCGTTAATAATAATAGTACTACGTAGCCTACTAAGGTAGCTATATGTTACGACCCAACATGAAGACCAGGGCGTGCCCCGCTGACGCCTAGCGGCTACGGCGCATCATATATGCAGGACGGGACGGAACATTGGGGAAACCCCAGGAACGGAAGAACTATGGTACAAGTCACGTGATGATAAGAGATATGATAAGGGATAAGGATATGTTGGATATGCGACATATCCAACCGAGTCAAGGATATGTTGGATATTCGGCATATCCAACATATCCAGACAAAGTGGACTGTACAGCACTGTTCAGTTAGGATCGGACTTGTATATAAGGATGGACTCGAGCTGGGCTCTAGGACAGACTTTCCATAGCTCTTCAGCAATTAACTTCGTATCAGGATTAACATCCGCTTTCAGCTACTACCTTGACAAGACTACGATTGATCACCGAAGCCTTACCTACCCTTACGATTGACAGACATAGCTTCCCTGAAGCTATCCCCGACTACGATTACTGTTACCAGTTCCGCAGCCTCAACTTCTGCAAACTACCCCTACGACTAGCTGGCCGTAACATTAACTTAACGGTTACCCTAGACGAGCTTAAACCCTCGCGGCCATAGTGTTACGCCCGCCGCAACTTGTCACTGTGGGCGCGTAGCTATATAATGCAGAACAAGGGACAATGATGCCGGAGTCATCATTATCGAAGCTTTTGCTTTGTGCCACAGTTGGTTGCCTTGTCCAGCTCGTAACACATAGGAGGAAGATTTTAATAAAGAATGGCCGCTAAGGACGAAGGAACCTTACTTAAGCTAGAAGAAGAAATCCTAGTCCAGGATATATAGCTCCTAACTAAGTCTATCTATGTAATATAACATATCTCGAATAATAAGTTCTAATAAAAAGTACTCGAGTAGCTCAAAGACCTCGACTATGAATACCGAATCGACTTCGTTAAAAAAAAGAACCTTAAATTTAATATAACTAAACGAAAACGGAAAGGTCGACTTTAAAATAAATAGCTACGAACCAGCCTTTAGTTCCAGCTTATATATATTTAATAAGGGAATTGATATACCGGCGTCGCAAATTGATACACCGGCGTCGACCTTACACCGGCGTCGCTGTTCGACCTTTTGATTGGCTCAAAAAAACAATACCTCCCCATAAAGGCGGTGAGGGTGACTGCACTAACATGGCTATTCCTGTCGTGGATTATTGTGATGATATTGTTGTCTATGTTGTGTTCTCTCCTTTCCATATGCAGCCAGGAATATCCCTCATCTGAGGCACCTGGATTCCTGCATTTTCATTGGTTGGTCTCACCCAGATTATTGTGGGTTCAGATTGCTCGTTCTGGTCTGAGCATACCCGCCCAATTCCACTTCTGCACTTCAACAATTCCTGCCCTCTTCTCTAACCTAAGCTCTAATTTGAGATTTCTAAAAGTACGTATTACAGCCTACTTATACCCCAGGTTTGTAAATCTCAAATAGGGACTATATAACCCCTCAAAAGGCCTATTACCTAACTACCTTTTGCGACGTGGTTGCAAAGATTCATCGTCACTACAGACAATTTCCCACTAACTCCGTTTCCTCCGAACACTAGGCTACATCGGCCGTCCACTTGCATAATTCCCTTTTGTCCTCCCCTTACCAAGAACACTAGACTGGCTCCTTGTTTGTCGCTAGGATGAGCTTGATATCTGGCTTTGACTTGGCTAACTTGTCTCTTGTGTAAGCCCAGCTAGCGTCGACTTATTCTTGCTCCCAGGTGGGCGGCCTCGCTTCTTACTACTTACGCCTTGGCTGCTATAGGTAGTGCGGGCTTGTCTGGCTGACTGGCCCTCTGCAGGTAAGGCTAGTTATGATAGGACAGGCTGCACTATGTTCTTTAGTCTACCGCGGAGGGATGCAGCAATCTTAGGGTCAAGGATCCGGCGGTATGGATCTGAGGAAGACGTCTCTCGAAGACGCCACCGAGGGTATACCTCCCATTTACTAAAAGTAGCTAAATCTAACTTTTAGGAGTAGATCTTATGGCAGCATGGGATACCCAGCTCAATTAAAACAGTGCAGTCTAGACCACAGTCTCCAAGGGGGGCTAGGAATGGCCTCGTGCCAGACGGCATTGCCTTCTTTACCAGCCGGTATTGCTTCCCAATTAATGCAAGACACTTCGAGGAAAGCATCGTTCGAAGTTCGCCTAGGTACTCAAAGCGAGTACCTATATACTCCCGGCCTGTAAGCACTTCATCCTCAGCACAAGCTTGCCTGAAGCGTATCTCCTGGTCACCAATCATGTCCTACATAACATCAACAAGTCGATATAGGTGACTAAGATCATTTAAGAGATAACTCTTAATGTTGTTATTACTTGACTCAGTGCCAGAGGTGACGCGAACACCAAAGTTCTAATATTTTCGGATAGAGCAGCGGGCCCACTGTGCTCTTAAAGGTAGGTATGTTATGTGGAGGTACTGGAGGATTGGGCGTTGGTCGTTAAACTCTTTACAGAGCTTGGTCCAGGCTTTCTCAAAAGCGTGCTCAGTCTCAGCAAAAACAACAAGCTTCCACATCATAAGGACCCCACGATACGTATGAGGGGGGGGCTTATCAATAGATGTGTTGATATAGGCCTCATCCTCATCACTTAGCGTGGCCATTGCTTGTATTGGTAGCTGATATCCCTCGTCATTAGACCCACTGCTGTTACTGCTACAGCTGCGGTCCTTAACCCACTTCTGCTTAGCCCTGAGCATAACGTTAGAATTGATGTGGTGGATGCAGAGTTGTTGCTGAACGTCTGGGAACTGCTCATTCAGTGCAGCCTTCATCTGCTTGTCGTAGTCTGTAATAATAACAGTGGGGTAACGGACTGAGTGTTGGTCCATGAGTTGGCGGATCCCTGCTGAGAGAAACTGGAAACCCTCTAGTCTCTTGTTGTCGATAAGGCTAAACGCAGCGTTGTAAATAGATCCAAGGCAGGTCTGCCCAGTAGCTTGGAAGAGAGGGAGCTTAAAGCGATTGGTATTATAGGTGTTATCAAAGCTAATCACCTCAGGGAATCGCTTCCACATTTGGAAATAGTAGGGAAAGGTCCAGACAAGGCCAATAAGGCGGTTTGGCTCGGCGTCTGCCCATTTCACTACGTATAGGATGTCTCGCTCATCAAACAGCTTGATTAATGCTGCAGTAAGCGAATATCCCGCTAGTTTCTCTCGGTTTATACGAGCCCTAGCGTTATAGATATCTCGCTAGGTGAATAAGGACTCTAGGAACTGCTCCTAGACAACAGCACGCATATCGCAAGCCCGAATCCCAACTCGTCGGCTTATAGTTTCAATAGCATCCTAAAGTGGCTAGGTAAGCCTACGATGTGAAGGGTGTACAGTAGCTTCAAGGCTAGGGCCATAATTATACTGACTATACTAGGGGTCTAGGTGATAACATAAGAGCCACTTACCCTCCTCTTGAGCCTCGGCAATAACTTGCCATTTACAACCGCATTTACGAGACTTACGCTATCGAATGCCAGCACCTTATGTAGGCCCAGGCTCGCCAAACCGATCACATTAGAAGGTATATCGAATAATTCGGCCTCGAGCTTTATGCCTATTCCGCTTTACAATACCAAATCTATTAGCTCTTACAAAGGTATTAACTCGGTCGAAGAGGGCATCATAGGTTTGCTCTAGATCGCCAGGAATCGGTGGGTTTAGGATTTCGGTTATAGGAGGAGAGGAGGAGAGGAGGATTAGTTACTTAGAGTATAGTAGGAGGCTGCAGTTCGGGAAGACGCTTCGCTTTAAGGGGAGGATTGCCGTAGGGGTGAATAGGGTGGTAGGTTGACTTGGGGACCCTATGTTTCTTGCCATTGACGGACATACTCTTATTATCGGAGGAGTGCCGTTGTTAGCTGTTGATTAGTCCTAATAACCTGTAGAATAAGCTGAAGAGCACTATTGAACTGCTCTGTTATAGGATGGGAAGGTTGCTGGGACTGTTCGTTAGGAGGAGAGGGGCTATGCTCTAGAGAAAGTCGTGGGAGAGTAGTCCGCTAGGTTTTTATTATTCCTTTAGGGAAATAACGAGTAAGATATAGCGTAGGCTTTATACTAGGGTAATCGTATATAAGAGGTCGCGTATTTTATAGTATGTCGGCTAGGAGCTTGGTAATAAGGTCGCGCTGCCCTTAAGGATTACCAACTCCATAGAATTGGCTAACGCTAGGGCGGCTGCTTTCTAAGGAGGGAGATGATGGTGGTTGGCCAGATGATGGTGGGAGGCCGTACTCAAACAATGGTCGCTCTCGTATAGGGGGAGGTTTATTAGTAGGGGTATTGCTTTGAGATTGGCCTTGTGGAACATCTCTAACTCCAGTTAGAGAAGCCATTGTAAGTGTCGGAACGGCAAGGCTGATAAAGAGCAATGGGCAGGTATCGTGGGCTGGCTGGCGCCTGCCCTGGGCGAAGTGGGACAACCGGCTTAGTCACCACGGCCGGCTAAGGTGGGGCAACCACCCAGGCCGTCACCACCTACTTCGACCGACCCCTGCCCACAATGTAAATAGGAACAAGAACAACAGCAATTATCACGGACATCGACGTGATTGTTGCCGAAGATACACCCTCATGAGGAAATGTATCACGCCTGTGATACCAACAGTAAGTAAATAGCATAAGTCAGACTTAGAGGCTTGATGATGTAACCTTAGAGGAAAGAGAGCAAAGGAACAAAAAGGGTTGAGATACTTTGTGGGTATCTGGCAGAATTTGATTGCACTAACAATATTTTTTGAGCCAATCAAAAGGTCGAACAGCGACGCCGGTATATCAATTTGCGACGCCGGTATATCAATTCCCTAACTATAATACCTCCTAAGGTCTTCTAACTTTATAGTTATATAGATAAAGAAAGTACTAGCTAAGATCTTCTAAGCTTAACTTAAGATAATACTGCAAAGGGGTAGTAGGTGTTGAGGGCGGTAGGAGCAATGTTGCAACTCGTACTTCCTTTCTCAACTGAGAATCCTCAGATGAGGAAGGGAAGGTTTCCTGTTCCTCTAGCTAAGTCTACGTGTCCTTTTATCTGCTGTTACCCTAGTGTCTCCCTTGCATCCACCTGGATGTCTTACTATCAAGCCAAGCATAGCCGAGAGCATCCCATGTGAAGGGCTCGGCCAGTAACAACTAGGAAGGTCGCCTGCTTCATTCCGAGCTCGTATTAGATGAGAAGATCATTCGACAAGTTGTACGCCACCTCCTGACGGACCCGAACGTCCGGAGGATTAACTTCCAAGGCGTTGAGGACATACCGATGTATGCCGAGGATGATCTTGCTGAGATACTGTTTCGTAATCATTTCCCATTTCTCTGACTGTTCGCGGAATATACTCGCAGGAATGGTTTGGCTGAAAGTGCCTAGCAATCAGAACAACTAGAAGAGCTTGACAGCCCATTTCCCAAGGGTCTGCGCAAGTCTTCATGCTTAGCAGCAATGTTCAACGAGACGCATATTTAGTTGACTGGTAGTTTATCTACTAAGTAAAGAATATCAGCTACAAAACTTCCATTCGACATATTCAAACCCTTCCCGACGTTGTATTGTCACCTCCGAACATTCATTTGTTACATGAGCTTTCGGCTTCGATATTGCCTGACCAAGTATTGCTGGTGCTGAGTCGGGGACTTTAACCGTTTTCCCAGGGCCGCCATGCCCCTTAATCTCGGTTCCTAACACGAGCGCTGCAACGAATCCAAGAATTTCAACAGTCGCAAAATTCCGACCAGGACACAGATGCTTCCCACCACCAAACGGCACGTATGCAGCACGCTGATCCGGGGTTGCATTCTCTGGCCAACTCATAAAACGAGTCGCCTTGAAATCGCCAGCATCGGCTCCCCAGATACCAGGCATGATGTTTGCGACTCCAGAAGGCATCATGACGTCCACGCCTCCTTTGAAGAGATATTGGTTGCCTCTAGGGTCTGTGAGCACGACATCGTTCAAAACACGACGGCTGTGTAGCGCTTGACCGTAAACGCGTAAGCATTCTTGTAAGCTGCTCGTTAGCAAAGGACACTTGCGCTGCAGTGAACCGATGCTGACGCTCAATTTCTTTGGTCTCTCTTGACCATGCCCATGTTCTTCACTGACTAAGGATGCACATTCAGACCGTAGGGCTGCGACAAGGTCTGGTTTCGCAGAGATATTGACAATCAGCCAGAAAAGAATTGGCACAGTATTGACGGTTGCCACGTGAAGCAGAGCCAGCTCACAGCGCGCGATATCTGTCGGGTTTGTGATTCCATGCCCTCTTATCACATCTGCCCTACTCCGCGATATGCATGGTAGAGATTGTGCCCTCGCTGGCTCGAAAAGTGGTGCGAGTGCTATGACCAGTCGTTCGCGAGCTTTGTACGGTCGTCTGGCGGTAATTGACGGAACGAAGTTCAACGAGAGGCTCTGTACACCCCCTTCAAGTGTCCTGTTTCATTGGCAGCAGCGTCAGTAAGCTCTCTGAAGTATCATGAACGAAGAATTTATCAGTAACCAACCAGGAAGAGTGACAGTAACTAACCATACATCTTTGATCAAGGACGATCCCATTCTGATCGGGTTGCTGTCCCCGTACAACGTTTCTGCTGAAGCCACTGTTACAACATCCTGCAACCAGGTCTGGAGTTTGCTCAGCTTTAGCGGCGTCTCGGGCTGTATTCTGTTTATTACAGTCGCGTACTGGCTCAGGGCACGGAGATTGTATTTCTCCAGCTGCTCCCCAGAGAATGCTGGTTTTGTAGCCCGCAGTAAGTCGCCCAGCAGCCCAGAGCGTACGGCGTGTAGTACATCCTCATTTACCCCAAGCAGGCCTTGCGCATGCTGGATCATCAGTGGCTCAAACGACAACGACGGGGACCGTAAGGCAAGTTGTATTAGAGCCGGTTCGAAAACAGCGTATATTTTACCATTCAATATAGGTAGAGTTGCTGCAGACAAAGTGGTCTTTTTTCTGCAATTCCATGTGTTACTAGTCAATTTATATTGGCAATAATCAATCTCGCTCGCAACGAAATTTAGAGAACTTGCCGGTCGTTCTTGTGGGTTACCTCACCTTAGGTCGTGGAAGTGTCCGACTTGCTTGGTGGTAATGCCGAAGATATGTCCAATAAATGGAAGCTGATCATGTAGGCTTGATGGCTCTTGCGCTTGGATCTGGTTTTGACCACGAAAGTGGCGTCTGACCAGTTCTGATGCCAGCAGAATAAGGACCAGAACGATTAGGGAAGACCACTCCATCAAATGGTCTACCCAGTGATTGTAGAAGGTCAAATTGGGGGGAAGCGATGCGCGGTTCATGTTTTGCGTCAAATGACTGGCTGATTGAAAGGAGTGTACCAGCCGTCCTGTTTCTATTGTCGGCAGCCTTCAGGGGTCTGAAATGAAGGGCCCGCAGATATGGAGACCAAATAATCTGGCAACAATGCTTTGATCGTCCCACTTCTCACAGAACTTGTCAGAAGGGTGATCTGGGTTAAGCTTTGGTAACCTTTTTGCATTACTCGCACTGCTGATTCTTACTTGTTTGGGTGAGAGACCATTCGATTTGATTGAAGCAGGGCTACCAGAGCCTGGAGTTCTTGAGGTTTCAGTGTTTGCAGAAAGCAATATCAAAAAGTCTCATGCGCTAATGGCCGGAAATAAACGAGCTATCGCATGTACTAAAATTGGAGTGATACGAACTGGGAGCAACATTGCCGCATCTACTCCAAGGCGCTGCTGGGGATAAGACCATGTAGGCGTTGACCAGACGAGAAAGCTGATGACCCAAAGGCGACCGAACAACCTCGCCTTATTCCAACGTTGACCCTTTCTTTTTAAAGGAAAACGGTATACGAAGGCTTGAAACCCATCTTCTAGCATGATTCCCAATGCCTGTAAGGAGAAGAATAGTGCACTACCAGCCTCTGTCTGGTCGATGCCCATAGCAATGTCAGAACTGTGATGAATGAGAGCCGATATCATGAATGCACACCACAGACGAGTGTACTTTGACAACGCAGTCTCTCCGGTGATACGGAAGACTAAGTCGACCAGAATATTTGCGTGGGTGGTGAGGGTGACCCGCAGGCACTGATGCCATGCCGCACTACGTAGAGACGAACATTATGTCAGCGGTAGAAGAAATCATTTCAGTGCCGTACATACCCCCAGAATTGGCGGATGCTTTTCACATCGACAAATGACCCAAACAACGGGGGACAGTCACCTGGGGAATAACACCCGCAGATCACACCCAGGATCGCTGCACAGTTGTTAATGATCAGCAGAAGAAGGGCAACACTGATCCAGAAAGTAGCTGTGGCGATCATTCGGAACACGAAGTCCTCCCGAGACAGAGCATGAAAGTTCCACAAAGTTTGTTTTGGATGGCCGACCATGGCAACACTAGGCGCCGGGCTCGACACTATCAAGTCCAGGGTTAGATACGCCAGGGTCGTTGTCAGTAATCGCTCGGAGATGAATCTGAGGCGGCTTTGCTTCGGACTGGGTGGCGTATTCTTCGCTAGCAATGGCGTCCCGACTCTCCTCAGGTTCCACAGCATTGGCAACACCAAACAAGCCCGTGACCAGTGCCCAGGAAACGGTTGCCGGAAGTTTAGCTCAAATGTGCTTGCGCTCAGAGTCAGTTGCGAGGCGCTAAGAAATTGAATCCAGCATAGTGGCGTGGCGATTGCCCGCCAGTGGGGGTTCGAGAGAATTCCCAAGCATTGCGACTGGGCTCCGTGAGTTATCGCAGCCAGTACTGCGACGCTGATCATACGAGCAGTCTTCTGTCCGCGGGTTGAGAATAAGATCGCACCGGTGAAAATGATTAAGAATGCCACTTGAAGCAGAACGAGGGCTAGCAATTCGCCATGAAGCCACATTTTCAAGTTCAATCACATGCTAAAGGCTTCGACGATACTGCGAGACATGATAGGAGAGGCAGCGCACTGGGTTTTATCAGCAATCGGGTGGAAGCGGCTGTCGCGTGAAACATTCAAGTGGGTGGAATAATTGGCGGGTTCGTCGGAAGGACGAGTCAAATGTCTCCTTGTAAGGTTGCTGAGATAGATGAGTTATATCCCAGGAAAGTATAATATATGGAGTTATTTCCATGCTCAGGCGGGTCGAAGGTGCGTGAAATGAAAGACGCGTCGGTATCCACTCGGACAAAGCGACAAATGACCCATGGTGTGCAAGGATGAACTACACGCCATGCAACGTCGCCAAGATGCTGCGGTCTTCCAGCACGATAGTATGACGATGATCGTGTCGCATTTATCGAAGATAGGTGCTTAGCCGAATAACATAACATGCGAGGTCATGTCTTGACCTTGGTGCTGCGGCATTCATTCTCAGGTCTACATACCCCGAACTCAACATTTCTTTCTGGCCTACCGACTTGCAACAGGCCGGTTCCCAGCTTCCAATGGAGATGCCGTGTCCAAACGATCTACTCTTCTGTGCTTTGAAAGCATTCGCTCATGTTATCACATGGGGTTCGTTAGCTTGGGCATCCTTGCGGTGTCTCGAGGTCCTACTATGTAAGGTCGCTGTGGAAGAACCACCAGTCGTGAGGTCTGTGGTGCCGATCTTGGGCCATGCGATGAGGCTATTCAGGCAAGGTGTGACATACTACGAGGATTTGAGGTACGTACAATACGGTTTTTGTTGGACTCGTGTTGATCGTTTGGCTTACCATGGACCCAATAGGAAGCAAACCAACCTTCCAATTCTGACAACCTTTTTGGTGACGCAAAAGGTGTATGTCGTGAATTCGCCAGAGCTTATCAGCCAGATTCATCGCCAGGGTAAAAGAGTTGATGGTACTTTGCCTTTCCTTTACGTTGTCTGCGGCAAATTCTTCGGCATGCATGGCGAGGATCTGGCCGGTTTGATGCGAAATGCAACTACGATCAACTCCCTGCGGTATGACCTGAAAACTATGGAGCACACTGCGTTAGAGGTTGGGACAGCTTCTTCAATTGAAATCTACAGAAACATATGTTGTGAACTTGCTGATATCCTCAATAACGTGGCCTCGCAAGGTCCTGAGAAGGTGAGTCTACAGCGTTGGTTACAGAAAACCTTTACCTTGGCCACGGGACGTGGCATCTTTGGGCGTGGCAATCCGTTAGACCGGTCTGAAGATCTGGTGGATTGTGTCTGGTGAGTGATTCTTCAGAAGTATCTATTTTTACTGACCGACGAGGGTAACATGAAAAAAGGGCTATGGAAAACGGGCTCAAAGAACTCACTATGTTACCGTTCCAATCGATCACAGCACGAAAGGCAGTGGCAGCCCGTGAGCGTCTGGTTCAGGCATTTATGAATGATAATGTTGGAGACTTTACTACATCCGATGGCGCCCCCATCCTATTGTTCCGGAAGTTCAATAGCCTGGCAAACCATCACGGTGTAACCGCTGAGTTCAGGGCGAGGTATGCTGTTGGTATCTTCACCGGCTTCGTTATAAACACAATGCCGGCTGCTTTTTGGATCATCAGCCTTCTGTTGGAAAACAAGGACCTAGCCGAGAGGATAAGGCTCGAGGTCAGGGACGTGGTCACTATTGTGGGTCCAGATGAGTTCACATTGGATCCTGCTTCTCTAAGAGTGCAGTGTCGATTGCTCCACTCGACGTGCCGGGAGGTTCTCCGCTACATTAGCTCGTCCATAAGCAGTTTCCTCGTGAACGACAACATTCACCTTGACGATGGGCTCATTCTCAAGAAGGGAGCCCTTATTCAGATTGCGGCTACTGCAATACACCCGAACACGGCTATTTGGGGTCCAACTGCCACCAAACTAGATCCGGAAAGGTTTCTGAGACAAGAGAAAGTACACCCCTCCGCGAACAGAGTTTTTGGGGGTGGAAGTTCTATGTGTCCTGGCAGGCATCTTGCTCTCGATGAGCTGCTCACATTCACCGCAATGTTTGCCCTCTCTTTCGCAATCAGTCGGTCGCCGATCTCCACACCATTTCCCGGACAAAAGCGAGGGTCCATGCTCTCGGTCAAAAAGCCAGACTCGGATGTGCAGATTCATATTGCTCGCCGAGCTGACAACTCCATGAGGTGGAAATTTTCAGACGCGTCTTGAAATACGAAGACTATCTCAGACAGCAAGTCGTAAGCTTCTCCAGAATAGCGGTTTGATAGAACAGTATCGAAATCAACGAGCGATTCATTCTGCAAAGTACAGTGACCAGAAATCGATGATTTTTATTGCAGAACGAAACCCATTATGTAAGGCCGGGACGGATCGGTATTAAAAACCGCTCATTCCCCAGACACCCCGGGTTTTGGCAAAGTTCAAGAATCAAATCATCTGTGTTTGCCCTATTACCAATGTCGACTGCTTCTAACTATGGAATCTCTTCTTAGACCAATTACCCGCCACCATTTCGTCGGGATTGCAATCATTCTCTTTGGCTACTTCATTTTACGTTCATACATTCGCACCAAAAGTAAAGAAAAGATCCCTCTCATCAACCCGCCTAAATGGTTCGAACCGACTACTACCAGAGTCAAACTTGCTTTCGCGCTAAACGCTCGTAAATGGGTTACCAAAGGTGTCAAGACCAGCAGGCCATTCCGGCTGCTAACAGACATTGGGGAGCTTACCGTGCTTCCAAGCGAGTTTGCACGCGAGCTTCGAGCTGACCCTCGACTGGACTTCGCAGCCGTTATCAACCGCGTATGTTCATGCGACGCCTCAATCTTTTCCCCTCCTTGCGCAAATCCTTAGTTTGGCATTCTGTTTCAACGGAAGTTGAGATCCGGTTCATATGATCGTCGCTAATACATGCGTCGTCCGCCAGACTTTCCATGCGAATCTCCCAGGGTTTGAAGGATTCCGAGAGGGTACGCCGGATGCCCATCGCATCAGAGATGTCGTCAGGAGGCATCTTACCAATTGTTCCGGTGGGCAGCCTAGATAGACCGTCACATTTTAGGCGCTCACACTTTCTCTCCTAGATGAAGTCATCGCCTCTATCTCTGAAGAATGTCACAACACTCTTCCCGATGTGCTGTCGGGAGCCACAGGTAGACCTCCTTCGCAGCGTGTAACTTCGATGAACTAACATGATTCGTTTGGATTGGGTCGAGATCAATCTCAGGGAGCATGTACTCCAAATCATCGCGCGAATGTCATCACAAGTCTTCCTCGGGAATGAGGGCGCCAGCAATGATGCTTGGCTTAAGATCACTATGGAGTACACTACGAATGCCTACGTCGCAGCAATGATCCTGCGCATGTTTCCAGAAAGCCTGCGACCTTACATCCACTGGGTCTTACCGCAATGCCGTAATCTTAGAAAGCAAGTTGCCGAAGCACGGCGAATAGTTGCCGATATCGTTCACAGGCGAAACAAGGAAAAGGCTGCCATAGAAGCCGAAGGCCGCTCGCCGCGCGTGTTCAACGACGTCACTGAGTGGTTTGCGCAGGACGAGAAAGATGGGCACAGCGACTACGACCCGGTGGTCGGCCAGCTTATTCTGATGCAAGCAGCGATTCACACCACAACTGATCTACTCACACAATCAATGTTGGACATAGCTTTACATCTGGACATGACCCAAGCTTTGCGGAGGGATGTGGAACAAGCAGTACACCGATACGGCTGGTCAAAGTCAACATTAGCCGAAATGCATCTTGTGGACGCAGCCGTAAAAGAAAGCCAACGGCTGAAGCCGATAGCTCGTAGTAAGTCAGCCGTCCTTAATCAGGATTGTTTCTAGACTGTTAACATCATCCGCAGCCTCCATGCATCGTCTCGTATTAAAGGATATCGAGCTTTCAGATGGCACGCTCATTTGCAAAGATAGCATCCTTGGTATTTCGGTTGACCAGATGTGGAACCCCAATGTGTATGAAAGGCCGGCGGTCTGGAACCCGCACCGTTTCTATCACATGAGCCAGGCAGGGGAAAAAGCCGGAAGCCTCACGAACACGAGCCCAGACTACCTAGCCTGGGGTTACGGAAAGCATGCATGTGCAGGCCGATTCTTCGTCGCCCAGGAAGTCAAGGTTGCCCTGAGTCACTTGCTGTTACATTATGAGTGGAAACTCGTGCCATCATCCGGCGCCACACAACCGTTGGAGCTTGGGCTGACTCTGGCTGCTGATCCCATGGCGAGAGTCATGATCCGGAAACTTTCATAAAACTGGGTAACGCTGCCTCGGAGGAAACCTTTCTGCTAAGAACGCTGCCGCACGCGTAACGCAGAAAGGCAGTATGGCGCGTCGCCCCCTAGGGTTCCGCACTTCCACCCACTCACCCTAGGAGGCGGCGCCCATACTGCGCGCACAGAGGTGCCGAGGGCTGTGGGTAGGTAACGAGGGCTGGAGCCAATCATATCGAGTTTTCTTTTAAACCAATCAGATTGCTGAAGCTTAAATCCCAATTGCGACATCTGCTAGGGTAATCTTTTCCTCGCGCATGTTCTATATAACTGTTGGTTCACGGGGTCGTATACGACAAATAGTGGTAGCAATTATCACTCGTCTGTTGGTGATCCTATTGCTTGTTCTTCTTGTTGTTCTTCTATCTTACATTGTAGGCAGGAGTCGGTCGAAGTAGGTAGTGACGGCCTGGGTGGTTGCCCCACCTTTATCCGGCCGTGATGACTAAGCCAGTTGTCCCACTTCGCCCAGGGCAGGTGCCAGCCAGCCCATGGTACCTGCCTATTACTCCTTATCAGCCTTTGCTGTTCCAACAATAACCTTTCTTATCCGTAGGAGAAAGGAATATCCGAATCCGATTAACACGCAAAATGAATGTAGCCGCCGAAGCATTATTGCCTCAGGCGGGCTAAAATACACGGACGTCTTTTCGACTTACATCGAACATCGTCGCTGCGGTGATAAACATAAATTTTGCCATCTATTCAGTCTTGTTCTCCAAATGTACTATTTACGTTTATCTATCTTTATCTGTTTGATATCTGTACACGATTGCCGACATGGATAGAATGATCATCAGCCTCCTGCCAACATCATATGCCCTGGGATGGAGTCTTGCACTCTTGCTCTTAATCTTTGCATGGCTGCTGCCAAAGAAGAACTCGGTACCAGATCCTCGAGAACCACCGGTATTTCCACCAACGATACCAATAATCGGCCATATCATACGAATGTGGCTTGATGGAGGGGGCTACTACATGGAGATTCATCGTCGTGTGGGCACCAAGACCCATGCAGTGACGATGAGAATCATGGGCCAAAAATTTTACGTCCTCTTGTCGCCCGCTCACGTTCAATTCGCCTTCCGAAATCGCTCTCTCACGTCAGAGCGGTTCAATGTCCAAGCGGCCACCGGTGTTGCTGGTCTCAGTGCGCAGGCCAAGCATCTACTCGAACAGGGTGACCTCCTTCGAGACTTTTACAGGAACATACCGCTCGCCATGGCTCCGGAACCATTACGAAACATGACATCGACGGCACTCACGACCTTGTCAGCGGACATCAATGAAATTGCTGATTTCCATTGCGACGACAAACTTCAACCTCTAGATCTATACGAGTTTCTGCGCAACAGACTCGTTCTAGCTACAACAGATGGGCTTTACGGGAGAAATACAAATCCTTTGCGAACGAAGCCGGGGCTGGTGGAAGACGTCTGGTATGTTTCCAGCCGTCTTGATTCCTTCGCATCGGCATACGTAGCTGACTGACCGCTCACAAAGGACTTTCGACAGGGCCATGTTCACCCTTTTCTTCAATATCGCGCCCAGAATTACGGCACCGGCAGGACACAAAGCCCGCAGCCGCATACAAAAGGCTCTCATCTCGTACTTCCAGACCTGTCCCGATGACCAGAGTTTCCCAGATGATGCGGCAGAACTAACGCGTATGCGCGCACGTCTTCTCCGTGCGTACGGCATGGCTGACATTGACGTGGGAAACATGGAAATCGGCATGATTAATGCCGCGGTCGCAAACACTGCGCCAATACTTTTCTGGATGGTTGTCAACATCTTCTCAAGGCACCATGTCCTGGCCCACGTGCGTGCCGAAGTTGACCAATTGGTTCAAATCAGCGGCGGCAATGAGAAGACGGCCACTCTGTGTGCATCTCAAGTGACAGACCGCAATGTCTGTCCCTACGTGGCAGCCGTGAACAGCGAAGTCATGCGGCTGTGTGACTCGGTGACCGCGACCCGCTTTGTGGACGAGGATGTTATCCTGCCGGACGGCACGCTCTTGAAAGCAGGAGCGATTGTGCATATGCCCTCGGCGGTTGCACACAGGATGGCTGATGCGTGGGGACCAAAAGATCCTGAACAGTTCGACCCCAGTCGATCATTCCACTATCACTACAAAAGTTCTACCGAGAAAACATCCGGATTTGACCAATCCTCTGCGCAGAGAAAGGCATTCTGGCCGTTTGGCGGGGGCAAGCATCTCTGCCCTGGCCGAAACTTCGCATTTGCCGAGAACGTAACTTTCGTTTCGGCTCTTGCAGTTGGCTTCGAGATTGACGGCCTCGACGTCGACAACATACCCCAGTGCGGTTTCGCTAACCTGACTGGACAGAGTGTTCCTAAGCCTGGGCAGTCCGCAAGAGTCACATTCCGCCGACGGGAAGGCTGGGAAAATGTGACATGGCGGCTGCTTGCATGACTCGGAATGACTCGGACTCTCCGAGGTGTCTGTGCAACTCGCACTACTCAGGGATCGCCAGTTTTAGAGTCTGGATAAAATTGAACATGACTCTTTGCAACTAAATTTAATTAAAACCGTGCCTCAACAGAATCCACAGTTCTCAATGTGATTGAAGCAGTAATGCACTTAAACGATAACGTGCATCATTGGTTACTCATGAATCCTCCAGTCAAAGTGTTGCTACGACGCTCGTTTTCCACCAAGCAGCATATATCACAGTTGGCATCACGATGAAGTTGGCGCGTGAAGCAGAATCGATCAACGTTCACATGCCCCTCCGACGCCCGTCATATCACGATTCACCCCCGTGCGCTTCTCTCCCTGGCGCGGCCTTTGATACTCGACAACCTGGCAACATGGGCACAACTTGGGGGCGATCCGGTAGCAATCGACCGTGGCTGCGATCCTTCTTATCCGCAACGCCACTTTGTTTTGGTCCATTAGTAGCAGTATCATTTGAAATCGCTCTCCGTCAGTTTGACGGGTCTCTGGCAAAGGTTTTGCTTGCTTTCCGAGAGCAAGGAGTTTCTCAGGTTGTGTACACTTACGGTCCCCGTTGGGATAGTGGATCTTTCATTGCTTACACCTGCTGGATAGCTTTTCAAGTAGTCCTGTATGTTGGTTTACCGGGATCGGTCCATCAAGGACAACAGACTCCAGCAGGATACCTTCTCAGCTATCGAGTGAACGGGCTGCGTGCCTGGCTTCTCACTTACACTCTTCTGGCCGTGCTTTCCGCAGGAGGGAGGATCGACTTGGAATATGTTGCCGAAAATTGGCCCGGATGGTTTGTCGCGATGAACGCTTACGGGTTTCTTGCGTCTGTGGTAGCTTTTGTGAAAGCTCACGTTGCGCCAACACATCTAGAAGACCGCAAGTTCACAAGTGAATAGCCTTTCCACTCCCACTTCAGCCTGTTTGGTAGAGTTGCAGCTAACGAACCACAGATTGTACTGCCTATGACTTCTACATGGGAATCGAGTTGAATCCAAGGCTCAGCCCGGACTTCGACCTGAAGCTTTTCACGAACGGACGAGCGGGCATGATGACATGGTCTCTGATGTGGGTAAAATGAACCACTCACTTATATTTCTATGAAGGTACTGACAGCAAATCAGCGATATCTCTAATCTTGCTCTCCAGTATCGCAGAGGCTATCTATCTACAAGCCTCGTCCTGGTCACGTTTCTGCACACTATTTACGTTGTGGACTTTTTCGTGAACGAATCTTGGTACCTCCGGACGATAGATATAAGCCATGATCACTTCGGTTTCTATCTGGCCTGGGGTTGTTTCACTTGGCTTCCGGCGATGTATACGCTCCAAGCCCAATACCTCGGACGGTACCCCACAACTCCCTCGTCGATTTACTCCATCATCGTGTTTCTCCTGGGTCTTTTTGGCTTCTATGTCTTCCGGCAGGTGAACGCTCAGAAGGATCTTTGTCGGCGGACCGACGGCGAGTGCCTGATATGGGGAGAGCCTGCTCGATTCATTGTTGCAACTTACATGACTTCAGACGGGACGTTACATAGGAGTTTGCTGCTCTGCAGTGGATGGTGGGGGCTGTCACGTCATGCAAACTACACAGGCGATCTCTTGCTGAGCTTTTCGATGTGCGCAGCAGCTGGTACGTCGACGGTGATCGTATGGTTCTACGCTATCTTCATGACCGGATTGCTTCTTCACAGATGCCTGCGAGATGAGGAGCGGTGTCTAGCTAAATACGGGAAATCATGGGAGGAATACTGCCGGAGAGTACCATGGCGGCTGATGCCAGGTATCTGGTGACTGAGATATATGATTTTAGAAGTAGATGGAGCGTTTGCCCTAAGGTTATGAGCACGGGGCATCATACTGTTGGTATTCCTTTCACAGGAAAGTTGGTTCGAACCGTAGGGTCCTGGGGGTGACGAAGTATCAATATCTCTCTGTATTGATTGATTCTATATAAGGAGTAGAAGGGAGATTCTAACCGGAGGTTAGGTGGGGTAGTCGAGGTCTAAGTATACCCCCTCGAGGTGGCCCATACTCTACCTCTACTTACGGTCAAATTAGATTTCTAATCCGACACTAGCTATGTCTCTTTCAACGTCTAACTAATATAGTAAGAAGGATAATTTAAACGCTGCGAAGTTATATATAATATATAAAAGAATAGTACTGTTTAATAAGCCCTGTTCTCCTCCTTTTAAAGTCCCTTTTATATAATATATCCCTCTATTTGAATTATAGCCTTGTTACGACCTAACCTCTAGGACACGACGAACTGTAGTAGAGTTCATAGAAAACGCCATAGAAAATAATTATGGGGCGTGAATACTAGGGTGTAGAGTTGATAGAGATTATAGGGGTAGAGTTGGTAGAGGTTTCCTTAGCTAAAATAGACGATATAGATATGCATCGAAAGCTGGCAATCAGGCGAGTTCAGAACTTATCTTATTTTTATTCATAACCCAATATTTATCTCTATTTGTATAGATTCGTGTTTGCCGATTTGATGGGGTGAAGATGGCTCGTGCATCAGTGCACCAATCAACGCTAGAGCTATCATCACATAACCTTGCTATGCTCACTGAGGCAGCAGCCAATCATAGTATTTCTACCTAGCGTTTCCTTTGTGGTAAGCAGTTTAGTATAGTTAAACGAGATAAGGAATGCGCTGCAGCTACCGAATGAGGAGATAGCGCCCATGTCCAGTTTAATGCTGTGGTTAAGATAGTTGCCCGTCCAACAGCATCTTAACTCAACCACAGTCAACATCAATCCACCAATATGTAAGACTAACACCACTTATCTCGGTAGTAGCCCACAACCACCACGGCCCAAGACTATCGTAATTACGCTAGTAATGGAGCCGTTTATCTTTTATGAAGAGTATGCACTCGCTATTTGTAAAACATGTTAGTTTGCTGTGGTTAGTGACGAGTTAGCCACCCACCTACGGACACGCCACCGCCATATCCCACCGTCGACCCGTAGTAGTATCGTCAAGGCCATCTCTAGTATAATGGGTATACGTACGAACTAGGCCAGTCTTGCGCAGCTGTAGTATCCCGACCTATCAACAGCCCCAATCGACCATCTTGCCGACCTACGTACGGACGGTATCCGATGTTACCGATGCTCCTATGTTTGTTGCCAAACTCAAAGGATCTAGGATCATTGCCGAAGATATTACGGGTGGGTGAATGATTGGAAGAAGGGCGGTAATGTAAGGGCGAGATCTTGTTAGGAACGTAGTATACCGTGGACGTCCGGTATACTATGCTAGCGGTTCTTCCCGTTACGGGCTAGGAGCCAATAGTTCGAGGTAGGGCGTGGCCAACCGCTAGACCAAGCGCCGGAGGCGGTCGCCGAGGAGGTAGCGTCACGGCAGGCTACCGAGCTACTCCGTCAACTACGGCAGAACTAAGCCGAGCAGGTCAAGGCGAGCTATGACGATCTCATCCGTGCTACCAACGACAAGCTCGAGCCGAACCCGTGGCTCCAGCGGGTAGGATGGGCAGAGCATCTAAGTGGACTACGCATCAGCCAGCTCTACGAAACCACCGGCCTAATCCAGGAGGCCGTGGAGGACGTGCTCCATGTGATGTGGACTTCGGTCAACGAGGTCTTGGAGTACGCCAGGGCCATATCTACGCCTAATAAGGTCGGGCACGCCGTATTATTCGAGGTCTAGCGGAAGGAAGCATATATTAAGCCCACGAGGCCGTTTAATAACCGCATTGAGGAGGATACTTAGGTACGGTATAAAGATGTCTAGAGGGTCTTGCTCTATGTGTGGTTCCGGACGTAGGAGCTACCGGACGACAGGAGACCGCCGTACCGGCTCACCGAGAGGCAGTACGATACGTAGGACGAGTTCGAACAATTAGCCAAGGCCGTGGTAGAAGGGGACTCCGACACTACGTCGGATACGCTCCGGCCGGTAGCACTTAAAATGCTCGTTAGCATGCTAGACCACCAGCTTAAGAGAGGGCAGTACGAGAACGCGATAGTGAGCACGCTCGCTATAATAGGCATCCGGGCCGACGGTGGCTAGATGGATATTACCAACTATACAACAAAGTATTCGGCGATCATTAAAGTAGCACGTATATTAGTCGTTTATAAGGCATATACGCAAAGGCAATACGATGTCGCTCGTCAGGCCGCTACGACGGACGAGGGGGCGGCCGATGATGGCATAGAGAGTCTCTTTGTCTACGTCCGTCGCATGGTACAGAGGTTCATGACGCGTACGCCCGGGGCCCCCCAAGCCGAGCCAACACCGATGGATTGGATTCTCGAGACGCGGACGTATGGCATGCACATACAGTATAACACGCCGGCAGACGGCGTAATCGACTGGGTAGGCGACCGCATATCGTATCGGCGCGTACGGTTTACCATGGACCAGTTATCGGACATGCTCCACGGCGTCGTCGACGAGGCCAGGCTGCTATTAGCGCAGCTCACGATGGTCACAGGCGGGGACGAGCAGGGCGACGCAGTGTCGGACAGCAGCCAGGCGAGGAGCTGTCTAGACGAAGCGCTGCCGCGTATTCACTGGCCGTCGATCGAGGACGACCATAGCGAGACCCGAGAGGGTTACTCGTTTCTATACGACGACCGCAACGCGTGGCTGAGGGAAGGGGACGGGTGGGTGTTCCGGCGTATCGTGGGGTCCCAACCGCGGCGGCGTCAGTGGGGTATAGAGGGACCGACGTCGGGCAGCAGGGCGTTCAGGGAGGAGGTAGTGCGCGAGTACGGGCATACGTTCGAGCAGTTCCGCGAGCGGCTATGGTTGCTAATGCATATGCTAGGGGGCCAGCCGGGACGGGCGACGGAGATGGGTAGCTTACGGGTAGCTAATACGGTAAACAGCGGGGTACGGAACATCTTTATACACGACGGTATAATATATTTCGTAACGGCGTACCATAAAGGGTACCGGAGCAGCGGGCAGACTAAGATTATCCACCGGTATTTACCGAGAGAGGCCGGCGAGCTACTTGTGTGGTATTTATAGCTCGTACTTCCGTTCTGGCAGGAAGCAGAAGGCATCACGAAGCAGGCCCACCACTATAGCGCTTTCTTATGGGCCGACGAGGTCACATAGAAGAGGAGCGGCGGAGGAGCGGCGACGGTAACCAGCATAGATATCGATAACGCGGGCGATACTGCCGAGGACGGGGACGAGGGTAGGGCGGCGTGGGCTTGGATAGAGGATCGGACGTGGACGACGGACCGGGCCAGGCGAATTATACAACGGCACAGCAGCCGGCTACTCGGTAACAAGCTGAACGTGAGCATGTGGCGGCATATTGCCATCGCTATCGCCAACCGATTCTTACACGAGGCGTTCGGGCGGTGGGATCCAGGGAAGAAGGGAGACGACGAGGACGAAGACGAGCTCGGTAATAGCCCGTAGGATCTACAAGCCGGGCACGGGACGCGGATCGCCGGTATGATCTATGGGCGGCTACTAGTCCAGTTCGGTAGCGGGGTAGCGGCTAAGCAGCAGCAGTTTCGTAAGGTCAGCTCGCAGTGGCATCGGTTCTTGGGGTTTGGGGACGAGGACCGGGCGAGCGACGGTTACCGCAGCGGCTCGAAGCGAAAGGTAGAGCTCTACGACGGCGTCCGTCTCGAGGCCCGGCTACGGCGGTTCGCACGGCTACAGCAGGCGGACATGGCCGGCCGGCTACGGCAGATGACGGGGGACGACGCAGCGACGTTCCGCGGGAACCAGGCGAAGGTAGTCGGGGCTATCGTCAACGGGCATAGCCCGATCATCCAGGTAATGGGCACGGGCAGCGGTAAGAGTTTATCGTTTATGCTATCAGCGTTCTGCTCACCGGACGGCGTAACGGTAGTTATTACACCACTTACCGCGCTTCGGACCGACTTAGAGGCGCGGTATACTAAATTAGGGATCGCCTCCCATATATAGCTTAGCCATAAGAACTGTTGGGCAGCGATTATCAGGTAGGGGGTCAATGGGATGTATTGATGAGTATGAAGAACGAGTGGCTATGGGAATATCCCGACTATCTATATAGTGAGTGGAAGACCCTTTATACTGGCATATCCTTGGCAAACTTAGTCATGCTTGTGTAAGACCATATTGTTTCATAGGCATGGTGTGACAATCGTTGTAACGAGTGTACTGGGATGGGCCTGACACACCCCCCTAGGTTCAAGTCTTTGCTTGAAGCTATTCACACTTCTTCCTGGCCCAGCAGGTGTGTGATGTTAACAAGACGAAGTTGACGAACGAATTCTCGGTGTTTTTGTGCGTTCAGTGGTTTGGTTAGACCATCAGCGATAGTGCTATTGGTATCCATCCACTTGAAAGTGATGTCTCCTTTCCGACAGACTTGGCGAGCCCACAAATTCTGTATATCGATATGTTTCAGCCTGGAGGTTCTGTGAGGCTTTTCATCTGTCAGAAGACGAAGAGTTTGACTGTTGTCGCAGTAAATAGTAGGGAAACCGTCTGGTTGAATCTGGAGATTCTCCATTAACCTTATGGTTGCCATATACTCTCTTGTGGCTTGAGTGAGAGCAACTAGTTCTGCTTCCGTTGATGAGGTAACTACACAGGTCTGCTTTGTGGCTCTCCATTCAATAGGACCACCAAAGAGCATGGTGATATACCCCTGACTGCTTCGTCGTGTATTGAGGTCATCAGCAAATGCTGCGTCGGAAGAACAGCACAGTCTTCCGTCTGCTGACCCATCGTATTCAATTGCTAATCCCTTGGTTCGGGCAAGGTAGGCAAGACATCTGTCTGCCGCTTCCATGTG